ACAATACTGACAAGTGCAACACTTGTTAAGGTTGACCTACAGTACAATAATATCCGTGCACAGTGTTAGCCTTAGGGTTTTCTTCATTTTTTTTTTTTTTTTATACAGTTGCTTGTTGACCTTAAAAGATACAGCGAAAGCTCTCGCTGTGGCCCTTTCGAGGCTGAACACCGTAAGAGGTACCAAAACTGCTTGTTAAACCCCTAAAAGGTACGACAAGCACCCTGTTTTTTTTTATATGGGAGTCCTCCAGGTGTAAAAGTCCTTAATACCACAAGAGGTCAAGCCTGCCTAATGTGTTTACCTAGAAGGGGAAGATAAAATTTTCTTTTTGATATGGTACTCATCTATAATATGTCTATAATATGTCTACATACATACATACATACATACATACATACATGTACTTTTTGTTGAGGCAGGTTGGTTTGAGGCAACCTAAAGGCTGGTGGGGACTTGCCTAAAAAATATTCGTAATGCTATATAAAAATGTAAACAAATTTTACAAAAACATTCTGTTGAGGTGGCTCAGAACTAATGTGTGGTTCCAGAAAATATCCATACCTCTACCAAGGATGGTCATTTGGTTTGTAAGCCCCTCCCTCCTGGAATTTTCAGTTTAGCTTTATACTTTAAAAATTGGGCTATTGAGACCCCCACCCACCCCCTCAGAATTTCCATTGACTCTCCTTGGTGTGGATATGGATATTTTCTAAACCTGCACAATTGATTGATGGTGAAACAATAATAGTAGTATAACATATGACGCATGTTATCATGTTTAAAAACTGACAGATATTATGAATCTTAATTCAGGTGTTTGGTCTTCAAATTAAAACATCAAGCACACATGAACACATCCAGGAACTTGGAGATAAAGCTGAGAGGTTTGAGGTCTGTATGGAAACATTTCCTCTAAGATACTAATATGCTAACTTCATAATCAGCCGGATTAAGAAGCTATTTAACAATTAGACCCGTAGCCCGCAAGGGCTACGGGTCAATAGCCCATGAGGCGAAGCCGAATGGGCTATTGACCCGTGGCCCTTGAGGGCGAAGGGTCCCAACTAGTCGGACAGAAAAGGCAATAACAAAGTTAGCAAATGCAAGTTGAAGAAATATTTATTTGGGAATAGAATGAAAGAAAGCGTCACGCTCGATTGCGCCAATTTCGCTACTCGAGGACTATTGCTAATAGTCCTCTAGTAACGTAGCCAATCAAAATACGGGATTTGCATTAGTCCACTAGTTGGGTGATACTAATTCAATATAGCGGCCCTTCTCCAAAATTTTTACTAAAATAAATTGCCAATTTGTCTTGAAAACTTAGTTGCATGACAATAGAATACCTTCATTGAAAGTAAATTGGATTGATTTGGACCTTACAGTGATCTGTCTTGACCTGAATTTTTTCTTTGCAAACAGACCTCAATTTTGACTATTTCGATACAGGTTTTAGCAGGAGAGAACTGAATACTATCTGAGAGTTCTCATCTTTTGTTAGTGCTTGTACTGAATAAATTACCTATTGCTACTGACTTGCAGATCTTTGGATGTTTTGCACTGACGGAATTAGCACATGGAAGTAATACCAAAGGTGTTCAAACCACAGCAACTTACGATCCAAAATCGCAAGTAAGTAAACAATAGCGTTAACCTTTTGAACATGGTCAGGAGTGCCATTATTTGTGAATTGAGTTATTTAAGCTGGAGATTTAATTTACAGAAAGAATAAAGAGTCTTAAATTTTTAAAGGTTATTTACTTAGGAAACCGAATGAATACATGCCATTTGCCTAACGGATTTCATGATCACAGTCACGTGGAGACTCTCTTTGTTTCTCTTCAGGCTAAAGCTATTTTTCTAAGTGTTTAAGATGCATGCCCATGTAGGCTAACATGACTAGACTATATGATTTTCTTTAACTAGACTATAATGACAATCTAGTCTTGCTGCTTAGTACATAATACCAAAGCATTCCATATCTATAATACCACAGAAATGACAGGAACACTTTTTACCTCAAATTCCTAAAGACCTCGAGCTCTAAGAGATGCACCTGCAGTGAATCTTGGTAGTTGTATACATAATCTTGGACTGGATATTTGTTTTGATGAAATACAACTACAGTGACTGAACCTCAGTATAACGAAGGGCCAGGGGACTGAAAAAATCTCTTCCCTATAATGAGGTTTTGTTACATTGAGGTTCTTTTTCCTATATCATGCTATTACTGAGGTGAAGAATATCATTTGTTATCATGAGGACTTTGTTAAATAGAGGTTTGTTCAATTGAGGTTGCAGTGTACCCCGATTCGCTGCAGGCACTTCTCATAGGGGGAATTGGGAATTACTAATAACTACTTGTTGTTTTTTCTGATCAAAAGGAATTTGTTGTTCATACTCCCACCTTTGAAGCTACAAAATGTTGGGTTGGCAATCTGGGTCAAACTGCTACTCATGCTATAGTATATGCACAGCTTTACACACCTGACGGCACATGCCATGGTCTCCACTCCTTCGTTGTTCAAGTACGTAGTACCACAGATCTCTCACCCATGCCTGGGGTGACTGTGGGGGATCTTGGAGAGAAACTTGGTCTTAATGGAGTGGATAATGGGTAGGAATTTGACGTATATTTTGATAAGTATAAATATTGGTTTTGGTTGAAAACAAGTCTCAAAAATCCCTGTTTAGGAATGATCATCAAAAAGCAGACAATACCCAGTGCAGTTATCAAAAGTTAATGCATTGAAACAAGATTTAAAAACTATTAACTGTGTACATGAGTAAGACAAATATGATAATATGTTACTTTTAAAGAATCTGTTTAATTGATTCACAACAAGAATGCAGATGTCTATTGATGTTGTGTGGTGAAGTACGTAGCCTAAGGTATTCTGACTGACTGTTGGGGCTCATTGATCAGGATGAGATCTTTGGGGTCTTTGGAGACATATAAAATCTCAAGGAAAAGTCATTATTTAAAACTAAAATATTCCCGAAGTTGAGATTGCATAAAATTTGGATAAGAAGTATGATCGTTTCTAATCTTTCAGCTAGTCAGCTTTAACTTTCCTTTCCTTGTTCATGATGTTTCTTTGTTTCCTTTTCAGTTTTGTAGCTTTTAACCAAGTTCATATTCCAAGAGAAAACTTACTGGGTAATAAGACAGCTGATGTGACACCTGCAGGAGAGTATGTTACACCATTTAAAGACCCAAACAAGAGATTTGGGGCTGCTCTGGGGGCTTTGTCTGCAGCAAGGGTTGGGATAACAAGTATAGCTGTAACCAACCTCCGAGCATGTGTGCCTATTGCTTTAAGGTAGGACTGTTATAACTGTAGGTTGATAATCCAGTCAACTGTCAGATAAGAGTCTCTCAGGACCAAGATTTGGCATCCTTTCATATAATTTAAACCCTTATAATGGGGACTGGGATAGATACAGGCTGGATTTTAGTGAAGAGGGTTCAAGACCCCTGTATGGGGTTCCGGGGCATCGTCACCCAGAAAAGTTTTAAAATTGATGTTCCGGGAAATGGGATTTCCAGCTTTTTGAGACCAAGTCAGCAGGTTGTAATGTTTGATTTTTTTAAATTTACAATAGATATATTCTTGATCTGCCCCAGGGGGATTGACAATGTCATTTGAGTCTGACAGGAGTAGGGGTATTATGCTAGTGCTGTGCTGAGCAGTTTTGACAAATGTTATTTGTAAGAGCAAAGAACTGGAGATGTTTACCAGTGAATTACAAGTAAACACACCTTTGAATCATACAGCGCCAAGTATTAGTCAAGATGAATCTAATATAGCACATTTGTTCTTGGACTGGAAGAGTGCAGTATGAGCATAATGAATGGTTCTAGGGTACAGTCTATATAATTATGTGTTTTGTGTGATGCAAAATATGAATGTATTTAGGGACAAATTTTAGGCTTGACCTTTTGGAAAGACAAACTATCAGGTCTCTAAGCTTACCTTAAAAATTCCCTGTTTACTTAGGTACTCAGCTGTTAGAAAGCAGTTTGGTCCACCAGGAAAGGGTGAGATTCCAGTACTGGAATATCAAATGCAGGTTTGTGAAGGAGGAATATTGTCTTCTTCTCTGCACGCATTGCAGACCTGGAATTTACATATATGCATCAAACAGTAAATTTTATTACCGTTGTTGAAATGAAATGATCTAAAAACTCTATGTAGAGAGAATTCAGTAATTCAGTAATTACTTTTTTCAATAAGTAGAATATAAACTAAGATTTTAGGCCCTATGAAAGAAAGCATTTTAATTTCTGGCTTATGGTAACTATTAATTTCTTTCAGCAATGGAGACTTATCCCCAAGCTAGCAGCAACATACGCACTAGCATATTTTGCAAGAACTTTCTTTATGAACTTTGTGGAATTCCAAGTCGGTTTGATGATGGGAGCAACAGCTGAAGAGCAAGTAAGTCTGATGATCTGGTATCTAGCTTTTGTCTCCTTTGTTAGCAAACTACACAATGGAAAAATAATGTTTTAATTATGTGACAGTTACATGGAAAGCATTAAAACACTGGTATCAAAACTTGAATGAGTAGTTAACATCACCACTCAATAGTCAAATGGCCACTTCTCAGTGAACACCTTGTTGTACAGCGTAATAAATGGTACCTCAAGAACCTACTGGTGCTGCTCAATAATTTGCATTTGAATGGTCACACATGGGTGTTTCATCCACTTGACATATTTTATGATAATACTTCTCAGAAACAGAAACAGAGACCAAATCATTTATTATTAAAATACTACTCATTCTTTTGGCATATCTTGAATTTATCTTTTCAGGCAGATTTGGGACGCGAGATCCATGCACTGTCATCTGCCAGCAAACCACTGGCTGGTTGGGTTGCACAGAGTGCTATTCAGGAATGCCGAGAGGCTTGTGGTGGTCATGGTTACCTTGCAAGTAATTAAATGCTCTTTTATTTGGTGTTTTTAAAAGTGCTAATGTCATGCTGAGAATAGATGAGACCCTGTATCTAGGCAAACCAATGGAAAGACTGTTCTCATAGTGATCATTGAAGTTAACTAGTCTGCATACAGATTCTCTGTACTCAGGGTCTGCATAAGTTTCTTATAGTTATGTTAGGAGCATCTGTTCAAATTTCAAGAGTTACTCTTTGGTGATCACTTCAAGGATTCTCCAGTCCTTTTTTTTTTCACAATTATTCATTGTTAGTGTGTGTGGAGAAATTTAAATATGCTGGTCACTGCTTAAATATATTAACTTTTCTAAAGATAAGTAATGCTTTTCTGAAGATAAGTAATGCTTTTCTTTTAGTCAACAGGTTTGGCGAATTAAGAGATGATAATGATCCAAATTGTACTTATGAAGGAGATAATAACATGCTTTTGTGGCAAAGCAGCAGTTACCTCTTGTCTCTTTTGGAAGCCAAGCAAAAAGGTCAGCTCTCACTTTAGTGCCAGCAGTGAGATTTGTGCTACATTAATATATTTCTGTTAGCAGGGTGTTCATGTTTTCAGTTACATTTATTCATGATTTCTTCACAAGTGGGGTAGAGGGAGGCTTGAATTAAGGAAATGATGGTTGAGTAAATTGGCGCAGACTTCACCCTATATGCCAATATGTTAGACTAGGCTGAAAAGCTCATTTAAGTGTCAAACAGTATGTGTGCAACAGATTTTTCAGCCACAGCTCTCCTTCACTGTATTGATGGGCGTGGTTGCCATACAAAAAAACTCTGTGACTGGGTGTTGTGGTCTCTAGGACTGTGCCTTACAATTTGAAAAATTGATAAAAATAGTTCTTTTTTTTCCAGAAGGTACCAATGTCTCCTGTCCACTTCACTCAGCGGACTTCATTAATGACATTGAACAAATCATGACACAAAGATTTCATGCCAAGACGGAAGACGATTGTAGGGAGCCAGACTGTAAGTATAGGCGAGTGTAAGCATGAACTGTGGGGTGCGGTCGGGTTAGGGCACTGAGCTGCTGTGATGTCACATTTGATCTTAAAATAGCTGACTAATCTGAATGATATTGTTTCTGTTTAGTTTTAGTTGGAGCTTACCAGTGGCTTGTTTGCTACCTGTTAAAAGAGTGTGCTGCCAAGCTTCAACAAGAGATGTCAAATGGAAAGGTAGTTCATGGCCCGCTGAATTTCTGCCGTCTCTTCAAGTCGCACACTCTCGAGGAGGGCTTGGCAGAGCCCTCTCTCTGTCACGCAACGCTGCGCTCTTGGGAGAGGATAGTTTTGCGTGACAGAAAGCTACTGCACGCGTAAAGAAGTCATGCCACTAAACCATAGGAAGTTCCTTGCGCCTTTAACGAACAGATGTTGATCTTATTTTTGTTCTATTAAAGGATCCTTTTACCGCCAAGAATGACAGCCAGGTGTTTTACTGCAGGTCACTGGCTTTAGCCTACGTTGAGGTAATCTAATAAGTTATCTAGAACCACAACCCTTCTTGCTTCTTAACTACAAAGCATTTCTTCAATCGATTTCTGACCGTTTGTTGCTTTGATAACCATTTTGTTTTTCAGTGCACGGTTTTGCAGAAATTTAAAGAAGCTATTTTAGACGAAGATGAAACTCCACCAGCTCTAAAACCAGTTCTTCTCAAACTTTGTTCTTTGAATGGCTTGTCTTCCCTGGAGACACATCTCACTACTCTATACCAAGGTAATACAACGACTGGGAAAGACTACTGTCCGTTTGTGAGTAACGTGCCTCAAGTGAGGTTCCATGTTAACATTTGATTGGTCGGAGAACTTTAAAATCTTTTCATAAAATCTAAACCAAACCAATCACAGCCATAGTAGGTTTTTTTTTTTTTTTTTTGCACCTTCAGGTTGTGCATGATTACTTATGGTGAACAAAAGCTTGTGCAATTTCTTTTCTTTCAAATAGGACCTGGATAGTAAAAAGCACTTGCGCGATTTTTTCCCATGGCTCCCCTTGCACGATTTTTTTTTTTTTTTCAGCCACCCTTCCCCTTAATTTTCCTGGTTACTCTGATAATTTGCCTGTACCCATTTACTACTCATTTACTACTCTGAACCATGATTCTCGTTACCCGTGACCGTGGTTACTCTTTGTATCCAAGTAACCTCTTATGCCGATTTTCTCTTATTCATTTCACAGCCGCCACAAGACCTTTTCAGCGAAGAATCGGACACAGCGAGCGTAACAAGCAGTATAGCCAGCCCTAAAATGGAGCGAAAGTTTAAAAAGACAAAATACAACGTACAACCAAGGATTGATACGAACTTAACCCCTAAGCGAAAAGAGAAGGTGGCAAAATCCTCGGCAGTAGCGACGCCTCGGCTGAGGTTAACTACCTCTATACCTTACAATACATCCAGATCGAGAGACCCTTCGCCGGCTCGAGGAGCCAGCAGATCAAGAGAACCTTCGCCGGTTCGAAACGCTAATAGATGAGCGGACCCTCTCCTGATAGGCAATGCTTCTAGACGTGGTTAAAGATTTAAGTTGAAATCCTTTAACGGGGAGCTCTTCGATTCGACTCTGATTGCAGCCGGCATTGGGAGCGCCGTGTGGAACAGTGTTACTTAGGCCGAAGAAATAAGTTTTGTTAGTGGCTAAGATCCTTTGCCTTCAGGGCATTTTTGTTTAGTCGTGCACAGCGGAAAAAATAAACCGCGGAAGACATCGATCTGGATCATCTCTCTTGCACGACCTTCGATAAAGTTTCGATAATTGCAGAACTTTTCATTTCACATTTCAAACCAGTAGATTTACCACGACCCGAAAAAAAATTCATTCTGATGTCGTGTCTCTGTAGAGATCCTTGTGGCAACTGTGATTGGTTGTTTCTCGGTTTTGAATTTTCGCGCGAAAGCAACAACCAATCAAAGACGCTAAACGAATGTTTATCGATCTACGTCATCAGAATGGAATTTTCCACGTGACATCCCAGACGTCTCTCGAGGGAGGGGGAGCGATTGAGGACCCCACTGAGAGTGTGTAGAGACGATGTTTTACTTTGACTAATGGTAAAAGGAAATTAAATTTGCCTCCAATTGAGGAGAGGTCTCAGACCATTTTAAATCTTAATATGTGCGTTTGTACATAATAAATTTGATAGCTATTTATTTTCTAGTACATAGATACATTCTATACCAGTGAGAATATGAGACTTTTCATAGTCTAGCGCTTTGCATGAAATAAACCAAAAGCATGTAAATAATAAGCCTAAAATGTGTCAATGTCAATTACTCCCTACGCCCCCACAAGTGTTACAAGTGCTGTCATTACGCTTGTTGTAGAGTTACAGAGTTTCATAACAGTAACTAAAGACGAATATACTACTTCATTATTTTCGACACTCACTTGAAAACGTACAGTAGGTCTAAGCTTATCAAACATATTAGTAGAAGTATCCCCCATCTAACTGAAGTAGCTCTTTGCCATCAGAAAAATATCTTCTGGGATAGCTAGCTTTTAGGATGATTCGTACATTAAAGTCCACTTTAATCTGCCCATATCACATGAAGGTCTTGCAGTTTGTCAGTTATGAAAGTTTGTATGATCTAATTACTGATACGACTATTATAAATTATATTAGCCTGCGTAGCAAGCGTTTCCGTGGCTAAAATTATATAATCCATCAAATATTTTCGCTCGCACACGACTGGTCTAAACGCGTCACGTGACTGAATATACCCCAGCTAAACTGGGGAAAGTCCGAGTGATATTCCTCAATTATCGTCCTGCGATAAATTACTTGAAGGGTAGTAAATACAATAGCTATCATTTGACTTAAAATATGCTCGGATATTTGTCCTTGGACATTATCTGTTCGTTTCTCTGGACAGGTAAAGTCCGCGGACAACTATCCGAGCATATTTTCGCGTCAAATGGAGGCTATTGTGCATTTATCGTTTTTTTTTTTTTGTTTTTTTTTTACGCTCGCCAAGTTTATTCAAGATAACGACGTCTAGATTTGTACCATCATGAATGGCTTCATTAAAACCGCAACGTTGTAGGAGTGTGGGTCGCGCCAAAGGCGGATAACTCCCGGTTCATTAACATGCTCTTAATCGAGCAAATCGTAAGTTAGGTAACTTGTTTCGCGCGCAAACGTTACCTACTAAGGTTTATAGGGGGCTTAACGTTAAAGGACCCTTAAAGAGGTGATCACACTGTTTCATAAGTTGCGACCAATAAAATTACTGAAGTCTGAATTGAAAAAATAATCACGGAACAATAATTTAGTAAGACACCAACAACCACAAAGTTATAAGAATAAGCCAAAACAAAACAGGATGGTTAAGATCGGGCAAGACTGTGACTGGTTACGAAATACGAACGTAGGCTAAATTCTCCATTAGAGGGTTTCGTTCCCTTTTGAGCTCTTCAAATTCCATGACTTTCCACGACTTTTTCAAGTTTTCTAAGACCGTATGTTTAGCTGTCAGTTTCAAAAATTCAAAACCTTTCCTTGCTTTAGAGTATTTTTTGACCTTAAACAGTTCAACAGACACAAACTCTGGTGTCCACCAAAATGCGCGCCGTTTGCGCTGTTTAATTACTACTATCTTACATTGTCCATGCCTTGTCATCTGCAGTATCTGATCTATCAAGCAAACTTTAATTTTCCATGACTTTCAAGGACCGACAATTAAATTCCATGACTTTCCAGGTTTTCCATGACCTGTACGAACCCTGCATTATGTGCTATCAGTCCTTACTTGCAGACGGAAAGTTTTTTTTTTTTTTTTTTTTTNTAACCAAGTTCATATTCCAAGAGAAAACTTACTGGGTAATAAGACAGCTGATGTGACACCTGCAGGAGAGTATGTTACACCATTTAAAGACCCAAACAAGAGATTTGGGGCTGCTCTGGGGGCTTTGTCTGCAGCAAGGGTTGGGATAACAAGTATAGCTGTAACCAACCTCCGAGCATGTGTGCCTATTGCTTTAAGGTAGGACTGTTATAACTGTAGGTTGATAATCCAGTCAACTGTCAGATAAGAGTCTCTCAGGACCAAGATTTGGCATCCTTTCATATAATTTAAACCCTTATAATGGGGACTGGGATAGATACAGGCTGGATTTTAGTGAAGAGGGTTCAAGACCCCTGTATGGGGTTCCGGGGCATCGTCACCCAGAAAAGTTTTAAAATTGATGTTCCGGGAAATGGGATTTCCAGCTTTTTGAGACCAAGTCAGCAGGTTGTAATGTTTGATTTTTTTAAATTTACAATAGATATATTCTTGATCTGCCCCAGGGGGATTGACAATGTCATTTGAGTCTGACAGGAGTAGGGGTATTATGCTAGTGCTGTGCTGAGCAGTTTTGACAAATGTTATTTGTAAGAGCAAAGAACTGGAGATGTTTACCAGTGAATTACAAGTAAACACACCTTTGAATCATACAGCGCCAAGTATTAGTCAAGATGAATCTAATATAGCACATTTGTTCTTGGACTGGAAGAGTGCAGTATGAGCATAATGAATGGTTCTAGGGTACAGTCTATATAATTATGTGTTTTGTGTGATGCAAAATATGAATGTATTTAGGGACAAATTTTAGGCTTGACCTTTTGGAAAGACAAACTATCAGGTCTCTAAGCTTACCTTAAAAATTCCCTGTTTACTTAGGTACTCAGCTGTTAGAAAGCAGTTTGGTCCACCAGGAAAGGGTGAGATTCCAGTACTGGAATATCAAATGCAGGTTTGTGAAGGAGGAATATTGTCTTCTTCTCTGCACGCATTGCAGACCTGGAATTTACATATATGCATCAAACAGTAAATTTTATTACCGTTGTTGAAATGAAATGATCTAAAAACTCTATGTAGAGAGAATTCAGTAATTCAGTAATTACTTTTTTCAATAAGTAGAATATAAACTAAGATTTTAGGCCCTATGAAAGAAAGCATTTTAATTTCTGGCTTATGGTAACTATTAATTTCTTTCAGCAATGGAGACTTATCCCCAAGCTAGCAGCAACATACGCACTAGCATATTTTGCAAGAACTTTCTTTATGAACTTTGTGGAATTCCAAGTCGGTTTGATGATGGGAGCAACAGCTGAAGAGCAAGTAAGTCTGATGATCTGGTATCTAGCTTTTGTCTCCTTTGTTAGCAAACTACACAATGGAAAAATAATGTTTTAATTATGTGACAGTTACATGGAAAGCATTAAAACACTGGTATCAAAACTTGAATGAGTAGTTAACATCACCACTCAATAGTCAAATGGCCACTTCTCAGTGAACACCTTGTTGTACAGCGTAATAAATGGTACCTCAAGAACCTACTGGTGCTGCTCAATAATTTGCATTTGAATGGTCACACATGGGTGTTTCATCCACTTGACATATTTTATGATAATACTTCTCAGAAACAGAAACAGAGACCAAATCATTTATTATTAAAATACTACTCATTCTTTTGGCATATCTTGAATTTATCTTTTCAGGCAGATTTGGGACGCGAGATCCATGCACTGTCATCTGCCAGCAAACCACTGGCTGGTTGGGTTGCACAGAGTGCTATTCAGGAATGCCGAGAGGCTTGTGGTGGTCATGGTTACCTTGCAAGTAATTAAATGCTCTTTTATTTGGTGTTTTTAAAAGTGCTAATGTCATGCTGAGAATAGATGAGACCCTGTATCTAGGCAAACCAATGGAAAGACTGTTCTCATAGTGATCATTGAAGTTAACTAGTCTGCATACAGATTCTCTGTACTCAGGGTCTGCATAAGTTTCTTATAGTTATGTTAGGAGCATCTGTTCAAATTTCAAGAGTTACTCTTTGGTGATCACTTCAAGGATTCTCCAGTCCTTTTTTTTTTCACAATTATTCATTGTTAGTGTGTGTGGAGAAATTTAAATATGCTGGTCACTGCTTAAATATATTAACTTTTCTAAAGATAAGTAATGCTTTTCTGAAGATAAGTAATGCTTTTCTTTTAGTCAACAGGTTTGGCGAATTAAGAGATGATAATGATCCAAATTGTACTTATGAAGGAGATAATAACATGCTTTTGTGGCAAAGCAGCAGTTACCTCTTGTCTCTTTTGGAAGCCAAGCAAAAAGGTCAGCTCTCACTTTAGTGCCAGCAGTGAGATTTGTGCTACATTAATATATTTCTGTTAGCAGGGTGTTCATGTTTTCAGTTACATTTATTCATGATTTCTTCACAAGTGGGGTAGAGGGAGGCTTGAATTAAGGAAATGATGGTTGAGTAAATTGGCGCAGACTTCACCCTATATGCCAATATGTTAGACTAGGCTGAAAAGCTCATTTAAGTGTCAAACAGTATGTGTGCAACAGATTTTTCAGCCACAGCTCTCCTTCACTGTATTGATGGGCGTGGTTGCCATACAAAAAAACTCTGTGACTGGGTGTTGTGGTCTCTAGGACTGTGCCTTACAATTTGAAAAATTGATAAAAATAGTTCTTTTTTTTCCAGAAGGTACCAATGTCTCCTGTCCACTTCACTCAGCGGACTTCATTAATGACATTGAACAAATCATGACACAAAGATTTCATGCCAAGACGGAAGACGATTGTAGGGAGCCAGACTGTAAGTATAGGCGAGTGTAAGCATGAACTGTGGGGTGCGGTCGGGTTAGGGCACTGAGCTGCTGTGATGTCACATTTGATCTTAAAATAGCTGACTAATCTGAATGATATTGTTTCTGTTTAGTTTTAGTTGGAGCTTACCAGTGGCTTGTTTGCTACCTGTTAAAAGAGTGTGCTGCCAAGCTTCAACAAGAGATGTCAAATGGAAAGGTAGTTCATGGCCCGCTGAATTTCTGCCGTCTCTTCAAGTCGCACACTCTCGAGGAGGGCTTGGCAGAGCCCTCTCTCTGTCACGCAACGCTGCGCTCTTGGGAGAGGATAGTTTTGCGTGACAGAAAGCTACTGCACGCGTAAAGAAGTCATGCCACTAAACCATAGGAAGTTCCTTGCGCCTTTAACGAACAGATGTTGATCTTATTTTTGTTCTATTAAAGGATCCTTTTACCGCCAAGAATGACAGCCAGGTGTTTTACTGCAGGTCACTGGCTTTAGCCTACGTTGAGGTAATCTAATAAGTTATCTAGAACCACAACCCTTCTTGCTTCTTAACTACAAAGCATTTCTTCAATCGATTTCTGACCGTTTGTTGCTTTGATAACCATTTTGTTTTTCAGTGCACGGTTTTGCAGAAATTTAAAGAAGCTATTTTAGACGAAGATGAAACTCCACCAGCTCTAAAACCAGTTCTTCTCAAACTTTGTTCTTTGAATGGCTTGTCTTCCCTGGAGACACATCTCACTACTCTATACCAAGGTAATACAACGACTGGGAAAGACTACTGTCCGTTTGTGAGTAACGTGCCTCAAGTGAGGTTCCATGTTAACATTTGATTGGTCGGAGAACTTTAAAATCTTTTCATAAAATCTAAACCAAACCAATCACAGCCATAGTAGTTTTTTTTTTTTTTTTTTTGCACCTTCTTAGTCGGGAAGACGAATGCACATGTTTTCCCAGAGCAACCAAGGTAGATAACGCGTTGGAAGGTAATTAGCGGGTCTCTACACATTTTGTAACTTAATTGGGGTACTCGTTCCAAGTTATATTTTGCTCACAATTCAAAAAAACTAACGAAGGTCTGTTTTGAACAGGTGGCTTCTGTTGTTCAGCGAACGACGCCAGGATTATAAGAGCAGCTATTCTTAGTCTCTGCTACGAGGTATTTAATAGGATGGGCTTCTTTCTTGAAATTATCTCGCGATAAATTTTCAATAGACTCCCAAGAAGGAATATGCAAGGCACGGGAAACAGAAAGAAAAGAAACTTTTTCACTTTTTCTCTAGAACTCGTAAAATCAAATTGAGGAAGACTGCCATAGAACATAGACAGGAAATTTTCCTTAGGTTCAATGCAGAAAATCGTGACGATTTTTTGAGGAACAATTTAACTACTAAATGAAGTTTATTTTTATGACGTAATAGTCGAAAAGACGTAGCCGAGTTTATTATCTCTCAGATGAGAGTAACTGATAAAAGAGTTTTGGTAGAAACTGTCTTTTTTTCTGTTACTCGAAAAATTTACGTTTTATGTGTTTGCAACATAGCTGAAAGGTGTTGGGTGCAAAATCCTAAATATGCTTTGCTTTAAAATGTGACATCGTTCTACACTACGCTACACAGCGCAACGTTAAAGTAGCTGAAGACTGAAAATTTACAACAATTCGAAACAATGCTTTTCTTTCATCAAATAAATCATTTTTTGTGTTTTTTATTTCTCTTAGTTAAAAGACGAGGCTGTAGCTCTTGTGGATGCTTTGGCTCCTCCAGATTTTATCCTCAACTCACCCATTGGACACAGTAATGGAAAGGTACGTCAACTCCGATGACAAAAACGGGAAATTTTCTTGTGAGTTTTCTTTCGTGCAGTAAATTTGCAATTCTCAGTCTTCGAAAGCTCGCCAAAGATTTTCCCTCCCGCTTGCTACTTCAGGGACGGCGGAGCCGGGGGGGCTGTAGGGGATTTACCCAATTTCAAGCAAAAAATGCATAAAATAGCAATTTTACAGATATCTCCAGACCCCCTACAAGTTAGCGCCTCTGGGGCTCGCTTGTAAGCCTCCTCCAATTCAAAATACGCTCTGCCATCCCTGTTCTTGTGTGACTCCGGCTCTGCAGTCTTTCCACAGCAGCCTGCAGTTGTTGTTCTTGGCGCGAACGTTGAAATGCTTTAGACCTTCGCTTTTTCTTTGTTTTTCGGTGGTCTTAAATTATAGACTTTTTCTCTCTCCAGGCCCACGAAAACTTACATGCAGCGATCATGCAGAACCCAGAGAACCTGAAACGAATTTCCTGGTGGAAGGAATGTCGTCAACTTCCGGTCATCCGAGATCGTAGCAAGTTGTGAAAAGAAGATTCATCGAGAAAATTTGGAGATTTTTTGTCCCCACCATATATGTTGAGATTCGTATTTATCTATATTAATTTAGGTGGATGTTATATATTCAAATCATACAATTTACTCTAGATACCTTATTACATAAAATTTTCGCGACACGTTAATTTCGCGATTTTGAGGTTCGCATATTTCGCGACACCTTAATTTCGCGATTTTGCGAAAATTTTGCATTTTGACTCACT